GGGTCACTGTTCTGAGGTCCCGGAGGGGGGGGAGAGGAGGGGGAGGGGAGGCCGGGCCAGGCCAGGTAGACGCGACAGGGCTGAGATGTGTGCTAACCAGGTATCGATCGGGCCAGATCGAGATGTTGTGTACAAGAAAATAAAAGGGAGGGAGGGGGGTGCAGCGAGCAGGATGGTGTATCCAACTCCATATTAAAAAGGAACAAAAAAGCCGAGGGTCCCCAACTAACCAATTTATGGCCTTGCCTGGGAGTAGCCTGGAGTAGCTGATGATGGACGTGGGCAGTGTCCGTTCTGCATGCTAAACACCCGTCTTCAAATGAGAGCGCCTCTCGGCGTCCCGGACTGGGCAGTAATGCGAACAAAGAGAAAAGCAGCAAGCTTGCTTTCATGAATTAGAAAGCCTAAGGGGGAAAGCTCCCTGGGCTGGGCGCCTGGGAAGCCCTGATTTCTGAACCACCCAGCTCCCAGACAGCCCCTCCTTCCTCACCGGCCCCCATCGTGTTCCCATGAAACCTACCCTTCACCCTCATCCCAGGGTCAAGAGATGGCTGGATGTAAGGAGGGCTAGGGAGAGAGAAGAAGAGGACTAGCAGACAAGGCAAGGATCAAGGAGCACCTTTTTAAAAAGACAGGGTTAAATCGCTAGCCTTTGGCTTCCACGGTAATATTCTGCCCACTGCAAGCCAAGGAACTCAACTAGGGTTTGAAAGAAAAGAGCGGGGAGACGTGATGTTATCTGATTTTAAGAGGCTATTAGTTCTATTTGTATAAAAAGCTCCATTAAAATTAAATGGATACATACAGCAGCCCAGTCACCTTCGGGCTGCAAGGAATTCTTAGGACTTTCACTGGAATGATGGTCCCTCTGTTCACCTCCACCCCTCCCACCCCAGAGGCCTCCAGGCCTGGTGGAGAGGGGCACTTAGAACGCAAAAGAGAACTGGGACTGGACATCTGTCACCAAAGCCAAGCAAGATATTGACAAACGCGGGTCCTTTGTGTCTCGGGAATATATATCCATATCCCCATACACAAGTGACGTCCTCACGGACTGGCCGGGATCTGCCAGACACACCCCCGGCCTCTCCACACCAAATGTCAGGGAGAAGTACCCTGGAAAGTAGCCTACCTCCTACAACCCCTACAGGTCTCGGCTTTTTTTGCTTTTTTAAATTTTCCAACGAAACCCTAACAGTCCAGGAGAGACAAAACAGCTATTCATCAGGAACAAATGTCAAATGAGGCACTGCCTCGTACTGACGCTGCTGACGCCGGGGCTGGTAACTCTTTTAGCAAAGATGCTGTCTGTCCCCTAAGAGAACTCCAGCTGGAGGCCGGCTGGCTAGGAAGAGGTGAGGAGGCATTAACACAACTTTCCAGCTGTCCTGCCAGGCAAGGGGGCGCACAGCGCCTCAGAAGGGGACTGGACTGAACCTGAGGGGTGGGCGGGGGCCTCCTTCACTGGGTGCCTACTCAGCTAAGACGGGGTACGGGGCGACTCTACAACGAGTCCCAACAGCCGCCAGCTAAGTTCTTCCCATTCTGTAGACCCAGAGCCCACCTGGCGTCACCTGGCGATGGGCACCCCCACGGCCCTTCCGGTGACCAAGTGGGGCTGGCCGGCTGTGAGTACACAGCTCTGTGCCCTCCTACCCCGGGGACAGGTGGGTCAGGAGGGGATGAGAGGAACCGTGGGTGCGAATATACCTTCTTTGCCGTTGGGGTTCTGGGGTTTGCCCTTCTCCCAAGGTGCCAGAGTCTTGTCGTCGTCTGTGCCATCCCCCAGGGCCTTGTCAGCCGGCATGTACCAGGTGGCACTGTGCTCGGCCATCAGCGAGTCCAGGTCGATGGTGCTCATGGCGCTCTTGGCCGCCTCGGAGCAGCAGCTCCCCAGCTCACTGTCGCCATTCTGCGTGCCCGAGGCCCCGACTGGGCATTCCCCCTTCTGGCCACCCTTGAGCCCCAGGGGCTGGTCCTCAGAGATGCTGAACTGCTGCCTCTGAAGCTGGATCTGCGCCTGGAGGATCTCCAGAGGGTGGATCTCGTCGGGGGGCTGCGCACCACCGCTGCTCGTGGGGGTCCGGACCTGCTCCAGGCCCGGGGTGCCCGGATGGCCGGCGCCCCCGCCCCCGCCGTAGCTGTCAGGGGTCGAGGTAGAGGTAGACAAGATGCCCAGGCCAAGCGGGGGCGGAGGCGCCTTCGGTCCGTGTTCCCCGGTGCCCACCCCTCGAGGAGGGAGTTTGGGTGAGCCAGTGACCAGGGGGCTCCTGCTGGCTTTGGCCAGGGCCGGGGGGTTGTCGGAGCTGGACGACACTTCGTCCTCATTGGTGTAGCTCGTGCTCACCTCGTCGGAGGTGAACTCACCCACGTGGGGCGAACTACCGTTCGACTTGGCCCCACCGTCCAGGGAGGCCATGAGGTCCTGCTGGTCCCCCAGGAGCAACTCCGCCCCCTTCGCCCACGACGGCGACGTGAGGGCCTTCTCGTGGGGCGTGGGCGCCCCGCGAGCCTCGACCCCAGGCGCGCCCCCGCTGTCGGGAGCCACCGAGTACTTGTCGAAGAAGGTCCCAGGGCTCACGTGACCACTGTCCCTTTTTCTGCGACCCCGGCCCCGGCCACCGCCCCCGGGGACCGGCTTGCCGTCGTTCCCCGACGTGGACTCTAGGGTGTAGTTGGGGGAGAGGCTGGTGCCATCCCCCTGGCTGGGCGGGTTTGAAGGACCTGAGGCTTTGGAGCCATTGCTGCTGGTCCCCGACAGGCCTCCGGGTCCTGGGGCCCCAGGAGCAGGCCCCCCAGGGAAGTAATCCGAGCCCGGGTTGCCGGCCACTGCCGCGCCCCCACCGTCGGTATCGTTCTGGCTCAGTTTCCTCTTGCCCTCGGGCGGGTTCTTCTTATTGAAGGTCACGTTGAGGTTGGGGGCCCCCAGGCTGGCGATCATGTTCTGGCAAGCAGTGGAGAGCGCGGCCAGGCAGCTCTGGCCAAACAGGTTGTCCTTGGAGCTGGGCTTGTTGAAGGAGCCCAAGGAGAGCGCGCCCAGCTTACTGGCGGAGGTGCGCTGGCTGGGCTGGAAGTCAGGCTGTG